AGAGCGGTTGACCCAGGCATAGTTCCCGGCCGCTGCCATTCCCTTCAGGTAGTCCTGACCCTCTGTGGAAGCGATTCGAGCACAAGCCAACTGACGGTCATTGACTATAATCTTGTCTCTCTTCATGGCTTTTTCCATAGCTACCAGCGCATCTGAAAGGAGAGAGTGCAAGTCCAAACCAGCCAGCTTTCCCTTTATAATTCAGATTTATTGCAGAAAGGTGGGCTAGATTCAAAACCATTCTACAAAGAAATAAGTAAAATACCATTTTCCCTTTAAAGTGTTTCTGAGCTCATCTATTTATTGGTCAAGATATATTTACTGAGAATCTTCTGTCAGAGCTATGTGACACAACATATGCGGGCTCCAAAGAGAACACCTGCCCTCGAAGACTTGCGAGGGGAATGGAAGGTGGTCTGAGTTACTCCCTTCCTGGCATGTGCATGAATGAGAAGTAGTAAAATACGTTTTATTGCCATCATGGTTTTTAAAAATAATTTTTAGTGACTTAACTTAAAAGAACTGGAGATAAGTTGGCTAGACCTTCTGCACACAAATCAAATCCATGATAAAGTGTAGAGCTTTATCATGTAGAAAGTTCAGAAATACTAGTCAATGCTCCATATATTTGCTAGACAAAATATTCTAACAGGCCAGGCTGGCACAAATTTTTAGATTCCCATAGAATGAAACGTACATACAAGGATGAACCATAATTGCAATTTAGAGTTTACAGTAATTCCCATGTGTCTATATAACTTTTCCTATATTCATAAATCCTTTCACTCATCGTACAAACGGTCCAAAGTGACCTTTCTACTATTTCCCTGCCTCCTGCTTTTGTTCACAGTCTTTTGGTCATGAATGTTCTGCGTGTGTGATTGTTCAAACTGCATGTTATGTGTCCATGAAGTCATCTCTAAAATCTTTTCCCTAAACACTTTATTTTGTCTCTTCCATAGTATTTTATCAATTACTATACCTTCTGTCTTTACTTTTTCTTTTTTTTGTTGTTGTTTTTTTGGGTTTTTTTTTTTTTTTTTTGCTGTACGTGGGCCTCTCACTGTTATGGCCTCTCCCGTTGCGGAGCACAGGCTCCGGACGCGCAGGCTCAGCGGCCATGGCTCACGGGCCCAGCCGCTCCTTGGCATGTGGGATCCTCCTGGACAGGGGCACGAACCCATGTCCCCTGCATCGGCAGGCGGACTCTCAACCACTGTGCCACCAGGGAAGCCCTTTTTCTTCTTAATGAACATGACATCTCTCTCATGAGACAATTTGAGGGCAGAGCCCTTGCTATTTCATCTCTGAATCCACTATAACACCTAATCTTGCCATACAGGTAGGTGTCTAAGGCATATTCCCGCATATATCATAAACTCTACAATTTGAAGTCTTTACTGCTCTTTCTTGGCCAGACAGTAACCTGTAAGAGTAAATATGGTAACTGGAGCCTTTGACAACACCATATGAAATAATTATTATTCCCATTTTTTTTCAGACAAGTAAGTTAAGGCCCAGTGAAGTTAATTTCTGCTAGTTAGGAAAACCAGGGTAAAAACCACAGTACAGTTCCAGCACTTTCTCCCTTTAGTCTCTATATGGTTCCCCACAAAATGTACATTTTAGCACCAAGCCAAAAATTAGGTCCAGAATATACCTGTGGCTACTTGGTGGCCCAAGCCTCTGCTTCCACTGTGGATCATCACACACACCTGTCCCTTATGGTCGATGCCCATTTTCTTAGCAGCATACTCATTGAAAATCTCATCCACAACCTGGATTTCTGCATAGTGGTTGCCTGCTCCCAGAGTCCCCAACTGCAAATGTGAGAATGTCTGATAAAATAGCTGCTGTTCAGGTTTGAAAAAATCCATACGCAAAGCAAATAGGTAAAAAAACCCCAATAAAAATAAAAAGATAACCACACAAATAGTGTCACAAAGAAACTTCTAAGCTTAGAAACGCTTCATTCACTTAAAGTAATATCCCACACAACTAAAATAATGTAGACCAGTTCCTGCGTTTATTATATCATTATTTGCTTGAGGCACAGCACATTAAAAGCATCATAAACGAAAACTCAAACCACCAAACGGCTCACAGGACAATTTAAACATCATGGAGAGAAGGGTCAAATTTTGGGGTGAACTCTGGTGAATGTTGACTCTTACACAAAGTCCAAGTTCAAATGATTTTTGAAATATCTGTGAGTTCACTGACACCTACCACTATCCATCCCTGGAAGAATATATCCCATAACTGGAGCTAAGAGATGCTTTACAGACCCAAAGAATGGCAGTGCTGGAACAGTCTTATCGAGACTGCCTAGTTTTAACTATCTCAATTTTTGGATGAGAAGATTAGACCCAGACAGGCAAAAGAGACTTGCCCAAGGTCACAGTGAATTAGTGGCAAAGTCATCACAATTTGCTGTAAATTTCAAACATCTGGTATATTTTTATCTCATGGACACCATGAACCGACAAGGTATCTGCTGTTATCTTGAATGCTAGAAAACTTTCAGCCAAATCTGTAGATTGTCCAAGTTTGTACATATGCAATTTTGGTATATATATATATATATATATATATATATATATTTTTTTTTTTTTT